ATCGTCATGAAACTTTGCAGAGTGCTTCCTTGGGCTCCAAAAGAGCCAATTCCAATCAGATAGGGCCTAGAGATGTCTAGAACGTGTTCAAATAGGACGTACAATTGCTACCTTCTTGCGTGCTCTTTCAATGGGTAAGAATGAAGCAAATTTGGTGCGTAGTGCGTGAACATTGGTGACATGGGGCTCACATAGTGTGGTTTGATGTTGAATGATAAATAGGATCATTTAATGATGGAATATTTCTCGAGTTGATGTATGCATGAGTGTGGTAAGAGGGTGGTCAGACCGGTCGTATAGCTCAGTCGGTTGAGCGCAGTGCTAATAACGCTGTGGTCCTGGGTTCGAGCCCCAGTATGACCAATCTTTTGATCTTTTCATACTCCCATCACCAACGATGCTAGCGCTCTTTTTATCACCCTATATACTTCTTCGTCCCTCTGACATATGCACGGTATATTTTACTCGATCAGAGAGCTTCGACAAATGCATCGATTGGTCGACAAAAATGTCGTTAGAAAGTCGACAAGAAAGCGCCCAACGAGGCCAGAAATCGCCCCCCCGGGCCCAATTTTTTTGTTTTCGTCACTCATGCAACCAAATAAAGTCATGTATAGCATTTTTTCAATTTTTCATTTTTTGCCGATTTTGGTCAGAACTCGGCCGTGGTCAGCGAGGTGACCGTGGTGGCTTTAGAAAAAATATCCCAATCGTCATGAAACTTTGCAGAGTGCTTCCTTGTACATGCATTTGAATGGGTAGCCGATTCTTTTGCTGATACACTTTTGCCTGTTCGTCCTCACTAATTTGACGAGCGCGATAAAAGTCGGTGGGTGCCTGTTTTTTTGTCATCCTGAGTACCTTGCCAAATTTACCGTGACCAGAGCTATGAAGTCTCGCGCCATGCTTTTCAGTCTACCTTGCACCAATGCATGAGTATGCGGCCCAAGGGGTTCCTGGAACGTCCGTCTTAATGACGTCTAGTGCCACAACCATCTTTCGGAGAAGAAGCATGAACGACGCCAACACGCGATGCGGAAGTCGCTCCAATTCGAACTTCGCAAAAACTCGAGAATGGGCACTAAGGTCTTCGTCGCAAAACAAAGTTTGAGAACAAGAAAGCGAACCCGTCGTCGTGGATCTCTGGTGACACTGTCGCAATACCATCGCCAAATCCGCAAACACGTCTTCTGCAAAGGACACACACGGTTCTGCAGTGACGCTCAACTATAACGCAACAACCATACTGAGCTTGCGTTCAGAGATGCAGGGCCCAAAGCGAATTGAGATCACCCTTGCTTGACCCCTGAGCAAACTCGGCATCGGGATCTCGTGCATGATCACGTGCCGGTGCAGCTGGCATCGTAACAATGTCGTATTACAATTGTTTGGCCGCAGCTTAGATCGACGGAATACCAGCCGCACGCAGCCGCGCCTCCAACGATTGGAACTCCTTCTCGTTGATTTCGTTGAGCTCTTCATCCACGACTTCGAGGATACCTTGCACTTCCGGGATGTAGTGCATAAGCATGTTTTCGACACCATTCTTGAGCGTCACAGACGAGCTCGGGCAGCCCGCGCACGAGCCCGCAAGCTGGACACTGACGATCCCCGTCTCTTCGTCAAAGCCCCTACGTATCGGTGCTTGAGTGCGTTAGATATGTGTGCGGTCACCGACTTGTAAAAAATATCACCACCGTCGTCCTGGACGGCCGGGCGAATGCGGGTCTCAAGGAGCTCCTTGATCATGGCAACGACTTCGTCGTCGTCGTCCAAGATTGTCGTGTCCTAATAAACGAGCGTGATGATGCAATCGACGAGCGAGGTGCACCGTAATGACCGGCTTGTCCGACATGATGGGCTTGCCCGTCGCGTAAAAGTCCATGATGGTCGCGAAAATTTGGCCGCGCAAGAGCTACGGACATGTGAGATTTGTGCCACGCCAGCACGACGCATTACATCCCAGTCTTCATCTTCGGTCTTCGTCACCGAGATGAAGTCCTTGCCAAAGAAGACGCGCGTGACGCCGTGGATCGTGAAGAGCTCCTTCGCGAGCAACGACTGGCGCACTTCGGGCGACTTGGGCGTAAAGTCAACACCCGTCGTGAAGCGCTCGTCAAGCACGGCGCGACCCGGAAGAAACTTGATGCTGTGCGGGTTGGGCGTGTTCTCCGTCTGGATAAACATCGAGCGCGAGGGCACTACTCGCAAGAACCAGATGGGTCAAGGGTGGAGGAAGCCATGGCACGTACCGGCAAAGACAGCAGTCATGCGCGGCTTTACGATCGGTCGCATCGAGTGGAAGCTCATGGCCATGGCGCCGTGGGTGGGCGCGCGCGCAGCAATTGCAGCGCGCTGCGAGAGCGAGACAAGGCGACGGACAGCGCGGCTCATGGACGTCCACAGCAAACGGCAAAATCGAAATGGCCACGTGCCATTGGCTCCTGGACCTCATCGTGCGTTGATTGGACAAAATACCTGCCCGAAGAAACCTCCAGAATTCCCAACAAACGCCAACCCCATCAACGACCTTCCTCCAGTCTTCTGCAATGTATTTCTACTTACCTGAATCAAAGCCCCCTGGACAATGCCACGTCTGTTGCCGAGCGTAGCAACACAGAAGGGGCTCAATTGGAATGGCGCAGACGCAATAGGAATAGCACTAGACCTCGTTTCGCACTCGCCATTCGAGTCACGATCTACTGGTACTGGAGGCCAACGACAACGGACGCAATGGAGGGCGGCGCGTGCTTACGATACCTTAGAGAATAAACGCAGCACTTAGTTGATATCGTCGTCGTCAAAGTCGTCCCCAAAGTCTACACATGATCGTGAGGACGGATGCGGATCGGGATATTTACCGTTGAAGAAGTGCTGGTGCACGAGCAAGTCGGCGCGCGGGTTGTAGCCCATGTCGACGTCGGGGTCCATTGGTTGCATTTCGCCTTCCAGCTGCATCTCGAGCGCCGGGTGGTGCCCCGGGACGGGCGGCTGCCGCGTGGCTGAGCGAGGTGGCGAATCCATGTTTTGTTTTGTTTGCGGTTGAATATTGCCGCGCTTGTATGGTATACAAAACCTAGCTTTTTCGGGGAAATTAACGCTACAAGATTTATATAAGAATGATGCAGTCTAACGACCACCTGAAAAACAATGACGTCACATAGCATAATTCTGGGAGTCGACGGCCGCCGAGCGAGATGCCCATCCTTACCTTCATCGCACGCGTCTCCGATGGCATGATCCTCGTGCGTCGATCCCGTCTTCATGGACCGCTGGCGCTCATGCCTGGACTAGGTGGCCTCGATGGAGTCCACGGGCGACTACCACGACAACCTTGACACGTACAAGCAGCAGGTACTACACGCCGCTGCCAGTTGTCGCCCACGCGGTTTGCATGATAGGGCAAGCAAATCATGAAGAAGCTCAACCAGCGGTCACCGACCAAGTGCAGTATCGAGTCGGGCCCGTACTGCTTCCAGTACGACCGCGATCATGCGGAGCCAAGGCTAATCTCGACACTAGCTACCTCATCGAGGAGGGCAACTGCTACCTTACGTTTTCGGACAAGAACTACCCGAAGCGCCTTGCGTTTTTGTACCTGGAGGAAATCCATGCTGGTTTTGTCGACGAGCTGCAGCGGGACCACGGAGACAAGTACAACCGACCGATCCATGCGAGCAGGAAGCTCACGCGTGCACTTAGCTGGCGAGACACGGTCACGACAATTGCGCGGCCGTATGCGTTCATCAAGTTTGGTACGTAGTTGACTCATTCTTCACGAACGTCACCAATTTTGCATAGACAAGTTCATCCAGCGCAAACGCAAGGAGTACACGGACCCCAGCTCCTCCCAGAACATGTCCAAGGTCAACAACGACCTCGCAGATATCCACAACGTCATGCGCAAGAACATCCAAGAAGTGCTCAACCGCGGCGAAGCCATTGACCGTATCATATCTACCGTTGTATGCGCCAGCATCATCTTGCTACGTGTAGGCGTCTCACAAATGTCGTCCAACCTTGCGGACCGCTCGAAGGACTTCAAGTGGGGCGCCAAGAAGCTGAGCCTTCAGGTACGGTCGCTCGATGCAACGCAAGGTCGATTCACCTCGTCGTAGGCCATGTACCAAAAGTACGGCCCACTGGTCGCGATCGGTCTCTTCATCGTGCTCGTACTCTACTTCAAGTTCTTTTAAAGGACACAAGAGCAAACCATCGACGACTAGACTCACTAACGTATCACAAAACCCGATGATCGTATAAGGACGAAGGCTACTTGCTCAGTGTTGCTAGTACTTGGCCACGTGCGCGACCATTGTTCACAACGGCTTGGTGCGTGACGGCTTGCGGAGCATGCCAGCCGGTTGGTGCACACGGGCGCCGAACGCGACGTCCTTGGCCTCAACAAGGTCCGACCCGCGGTGCTGCGCCGCCTGGGTGGCAAGGTGCGCGAGCTCATGGGCGTACTCGAGCGCCATTTCCCGCAAGATGACCTCGACCTGCGGGCTCAAGGCCGCAGCATCGCGTCCGCATCGGGCCGCCACGATCTCGTTCCAACGCTGCATTCGAGGCTTTTCGAGCACAATCATTATATCGAGCAATTTGCAGCAAAATAGAAAACAACCAATCAAGTCTCGTCACGGGTGATCCTTGCCCCGTACAGACGCACGCTGCCATCGAGGGCTGCAGTCGCAATTTGGGGCCGCATGGGATGAAACGCGACGCTCGTGACGACGTCCGTGTGTCCATGCAGCTTGGCGAGGCAGCGGCCCATACGAATATCGTAGATGTACGCCACCTTGTCTTCCGAGCCCGTCGCCACGTACCTGTCCTCAAAATAAGATCCCGACGACGACAACATGAGGTACCGCATGCAGGGGCTAAATGCCATACCGAGGGCGTGTACTCGGTTGAGATGCTCGCCAAAGCGCATGATGCAGTTGTCAGCGCGGATGTCCCAGAGGTGCACGGTGCTGTCCGGTGCGCTCGTGAGCAAGAGATCGTACACATTGGGCGCGTGATTGACGTAGCTCGACGCTCGGGGCAAGACGACCTACGCGCATTTATACTACAACCTAGTGTGAAGAAAAAGGCGACGAACCGAGTGAGCCGGCCGCGAGTGGGCCCCATGGATCGTGCGAGCTGTTTTCCCAGCGGCAACATCCACGATGCGGATGCTCTTGTCCGAGCCAATCGCGACAAGGAGATGGGACAAGAACGCGTTGGGCGCTGCGAGACCCGTGAGGCTCTGGACAGCTTCAAAGCGGTAGGACGCGACGGCTTTTGCAGTCGAGAGATTCTCGAGCTGTGCGACGTCGGCGCGCCTGCTCTTTGCTTTCTTGGCGTGCTCGACACAGCCCGCGGCGTGGGCCATGTCGATGTCATACAGATACAGCTTGACGGTATTGCCTACTGCAACCGCGACAAATTTGTCCATATAGTAAAAGACAGCATCGGCAACGTCCGCCTTGGCGGGCTTCTTGGCGCGTTTGGAGGCGGATGGAAGCGGTAGCGTGAGCGACGCTACGTCGCTGCCGTTGACCCACACGCATGCCGTAGCATCGGCGGACGCTGTCAACAGTAGCTTGTTCGAGTGGCTCCAATGGATCGCGCGCACAGCCTTGTCGTGGCCCACAAAGAGATGCGACTGTGGCTTGTGAAGTGCTAGCACTTGGCCGAGCCGGTCGTTTGCGGCCGTTGCGAGCCGACGCCCGTCGTTGGAGAACTCGATGTGATTGATTGCCATTTCATGCAGCTTGACGTGCGATGACACGAGAACCGACGGCACGGGTGCGTCCAACGGGTACTCAGTCAGTAGTGTCGCTGCCTTCGTGCTGGCCTTCGTCGCCAGCTTAGCTTTCCCGAGGCCCTTGAAGCGAAGCGAGAGTGATTTGGGCTTCTTCTCTGCACCGTACCCGGACGACGGAATTGACGTCCGGTACGTTATTGGTTGATCGAGCGGGCTCTTGACGCGCTTGGCCAACGGCGTTAGCAGCTGCGTCAAGACGGAGCCCTCTGGTGGCAAAGCTTGCGGGTGCATTGAGAGTCCGTGCGTTGTAGTCAATGAGGACTGTACAAGAGCGTGTTGCGCCGCCGCAACACCGAGAGCGGTGACCCGGGGCATGAACGCGTCCAGTACCCAGACGTCGCAGCGGCCGGGCTCGGGCCGCAAGGACGCGTGCTTGGCAATGCCCATTGACACCTCAACATCGTCCTGGAAGGCGCGTATGACGCGGGCGTCGTACGAGAAAGCGTTAACGCCCACGAGGTAGTTGACGGTTGCGACAAGAAGAGTGTGCGCCGCCTCCACGATAGGCTGCACGTCGAGCAGCGTCTCAGGCGACGCGACCGTGGCAGACGAGCCCATGTATGCCAGTCCCAAGATTGTACACGTGGTTTCGTGCATGGGCTCCATGAGGTGCTCCATACCTGGAAGGACGACCGGGGTCGGGTCCAGCGACTCGTTGGCCTTGGCGAGGGCCCGCGCCTGGGCACTTTCGTACGCGCGTTGGCTTCGAGCCCACGGCGGCAACGAGCTCACTACGTTTTGAGTCGCATCGAGCACCTTCTCCACCTGTTGTGCGACCTAAAAGGCTCATCGTACACGCTATAAGCGAGGCGTCTTCTCACATGTTGTTTCTTCTCCCGGCGATCGAGATACTGGGCCAGATTGATTGATGCGAGTTCATTGCCAAATTTGGTCGCGTCGAAGACGCGGACGACGCCATCGCCAAAGGCACACGCAATGTCGCCCGACGTGGGGTGGATAGCAAGACGCAAGATCGCGTAAGCCGAGAGGACGGCGGATTGAAACAAGAGCTTTTGCTCCGAGAGGTCCCAAATCTACGAAGAGTGGGAAACGTGCGTAGGGCGCTGAGCGATGTACTTTAAAGGTCCGATCTTCCGACGCCGTCACAAGCCAGTGCGGATGGCCTGGGTGGAAAAGGCACTCTGTGATCTAGTTGGACGCGCTTAATGAGTGCGCTCATGTACAGGATGTCCCACCTTGGCGAGATGGCCCTCGAGGGTGATGAAGATTCCGCCCGTTTGTGCCTGGAGCACATCAACCTGCTTGGCCAAAGCCACAGCGAGTAGCGTGCCCGACGCATCGAACGCAATTGCAGACACTTCGGCGCGCGGCGATTCCAGCAGCGGAAGCTTCTGGATGTCAATCTTGTCGTACGGTGCGGGCACCAGGCGCCACAAAAGGATTCTAGGCACGTGTGACGACCGAGCACGCGGCACAGTCAGTGTGCGCACCGGTCCGTCGATACGGTGCATAAAATATCACACGAGGTGCTTTCGTGGAAGCTGGCAAGGTGCACGCGCTCCGTGTGCCCGCCGAGCTCGACGAGACCGGGCATGGCCGACGACGGGCAATCGTTCTCGGGCGACGCTTCGTTCTTCCACAGCTGAAGAACGACGCAGTCAATGTACTCGAGAGCGACGAATGCGTAGCGCCGACTTGCACACGCGTACGTGGCAGTGGCCGCCGGCGTCCACTGCCGCGTCGCATTGGGCACGAGAGCCATTCGGCAATTTGGTTCAAAACGTATCTTTCACAGCGGCTAAAAGGCGTTTAAATGGCGTAAAACCTACCCAATCATTCCAAATTGACGTTTTTTGTTGTGCGCCTTTGCAAGGAAATAATTTCCTTGGCATCACTTGCCACACGGGCCTGCATTTGTCTTCCCACGGCGAGTGCGTCGTAAACAAATGTGCAGAAACTGTCACGATGCGAAAGCCACGACACGATCGACAAGTCAAGCAACCGAGCTCACATAAGTGTTAATACCGGTACCCTCGTGCTCGTTGCCAGGGCCATGCACCAAAATTGCATTTGCTTCCTCCACTTGGTGCGCAAAGACGTCCGGCACTCGCGTCTAGGCGTCACAACCTCTCTTTTCACGACCCGTCTTATATTTATTAGCGCCACGATAGGACTGCCATCCGGCTGGTACGCCTCGTCGGGCTTTGCTTTCAACTAAGCATGCATCGACATCGGCTCACATGGTCACGACACTTGCCGAGTTTGCTTCCAATACGATTTCGACTTGACCCGAAGCGTCATTGGCTTGGTCCTTCATCTCGATCGCAGACGCCCGTGCGGCGATGCGCTCGCGCCGGTCGCGCAGCATGACGGCGCCGAGAAGACCAATCGCAAACATGACAATGCCAAAAAGAGCTCCGACAAGCGGCCCCGTGACAGCCGTCGATTGGAACATCGATGGCGCCTCGGCTTCCACCGCCACGTCCGTCCCCGCGCTCTTGAGTTGGCACGCAAAGTTGGCGTAGTTTTTGATGGCACCAATGTCGACGCTAGTGCACTCGAAAACGCGGTCGGGGAGGTTCTTTCGGTTCTTGAGGTTGGGTAGTTTGGCCTGCGGGTCGGCGATAAACCAAAATCGAATGTCCACGTGCGCGGTGAGGCGCTCGAGGTCGATGAGCGGCCCCGAGATGCTCATGGCACCGGTCGAAATGCCGTAGACGGCATCCAGCAAATGCGCATCGCCGCGTACGTTCTTTTCGTATGCTTCCGCCGTATAAAAGTCGGCGACGTTGATGTCAACGACAGCTTCTGACGCACTGTCTTCGTTCGACGGCGCGAGCAAGGCCGCGTCCGCAGCGCCAAGTTTGATGTCGATCGAGAGAAGAACGTTGACGTCCTCCTTCTGGTCGTCCTCGTTCAGGAATTTACCAAAGGCGACTGTGCTGCTGTAGTCGTGCGTCGCGAGGAGGCCAAGGCCTTGATTGAGCACGTTGCCTTCGATCGCATCTACCAGTTGCAGCGACTTGTAGAGATGCAGCCACTTGCGCGGGTCGCTTGTGATGTGCTGCATGCCTGCCGCAGCCTGCAGAGCGAAGACGAGGAGTGCGACGGCTCGGACCATGCTGGCAAATGCTGTTGTGGCACAAGCTCTGCTGCAAGCCGCTGATCCACGCGCGTATATCTAGAAGAAGTGACGCATGTTCGCGCGCGAAAAGTCGGAGGATCTAGAGCAATAGAAAATTTCTACTATAAATGCACGCACTGCCCTCCAGGACACAGCAAGCGAAAGTGCTCTCCGAGATACGCTAGCTGACTTTGGGTGAATCGCGGAAACGAGCGTCCAGTATCAACGACTAATAGGACGTGGCTTGAGCATACCATGCAGGACGTTGACATGACTTCAGTTGCTAAATTGGCGGTCGCCATGGTGTGCTGCGTGGGCTGTCTTACTGCCACCGTACTCTTTGTCGTTGCGCTCGACCTGCGATTCCGCGCGGTGCACCTATTTTCTTTTCTCAGCGCCGCGAACGAAGTCGCATTCAACGGACCCCACCCCGACACCGCAGCGACAATAGCCTGATACAAGGACACTCCTCAAGCGACTACGATGTGACGACTGCAAATAATCGAGTGTACTCTAGTTGCGCATACTCCTTGCTTGCGCTATTCCAAGGGAAGTAAAAATCTTTGGCCTTCATGAACCACATCTGCAGGGACGACCTCTATGCGACCACCTCGCCTGAAATGCGCGTGATGGTGTTGCATTATACACTGTGTTAGTCGCCTTTCTGTGGCACACACTGCGCGTAGTACGTGTTGAAGGTAAGACACATCCAGCCCTTGGATTGACAGCACGTCGCTTGCTTCCAGTACCGCCCGCCACATTGCCCCCAGTCGGCGCTGCAAGCCTCTGGGTTCATGGTGGGTGGCATGGTGCCCGCCGGACTCGGACTTGTCTGCGGCGTCAAGGGTTTGGATGTTGTTGGCTTTGGAGACCGGCTATGGGCGTGTGGGTGCCGTGTTGTTGGTGGCAGTGTCGGTGGTGCGCTCACCGGCGTCGGCAAGGGCGTCAACCGAGTCGTTTCTGATGGCGAAGGCTCGTTCGAACTGGTACCATCGAAGACACAACCTCTCGCCCCTGAGGGCAGTTGCTGACACGTCGCGTCGGCCGGTGCCACGCACGTTCCGGACGCAGCGTGGCTTCGCAGACCGCTGTTACAATCTTGCGTCGCGACATCGCCCTTCTTGGGGCATGCATCGCCTTCCGCGCCGCAGATGGGACCAGCGACACAATACGTGGCGTCGCCAACGACGCTCACCTGTGTACATGCCGTGCGACTGCGATGATGCGCCGCCTGCGCGCACACTGTAGCAAGGAGGACCGCGACGACGACCTTCATCGTGGTTTCGATGAACAGGCAATGCGGGATCCGGAGGTGCCTCGAACGCCATTGGCTGTCTCTCCCGTCCATCCGGATTTCTGCACGCGACAATTGGACGACACACACAAGATATTTGCGTGAAAAACAACCCAAAAGCAAAATTCTGCTTCCATCGCAGGCTGCATGCATCGCGGTGCTGACGCGCCGCTGCAAAGAGCCCACTTGGCGCTTTATATGGCACCGAGAAACCGTGCGTCTCCAAGTATGAGGAGCGGGCGACTCAGACCCGCGCCGGCCCGTCGCGTGACTTACATTCTGACGCCGCCTCATTGGCCCAAACGCGCAAGGTGCGCTAAAAAACAGCCAGCGCACCATACAAACCCAAAGACATAATTACCAACACCACTTGGCAGGACCGAATTTTCGTTGTTCGCGAGAGACGCCCGCACAAGCGAATTTGGTGTTGAGAGCATGCAGCTTGTCTCGGTCGTCGTGCTCGTTGTCCTGAGCCTCGCCAGCTTCGTCGCTGCCTACAACGACAACCGCGACGTTCTCGTCAAGAATGCGCTCGGCGAGTTCACCGAAGACTTTGCGCGGTCGGAAAACGATGCCTACAAGGCGATCCGAACCGACTTTGGCTTGCCGCTGCCCGGCCACACGACGGCGCCCGTGACCGACGCCGAGTACATGCACGCAATCACTGTCGTTCAGAGCCTCGGCAAAGTTGCGGACCAGCGCGCCGCTATTGACAGCGTCCGCGCCGTCATGGCACGAATGACAAAGACGGAGCTGCTTCAGTTCATGGGCGAGTTTGACACGGAGACAACCACGAAATTTGTGGCCCTCGGCGCGGCTTTTGCCCGCAACAATACGACTGTCCGCATGGAGGCGTCCTCCGACGACGCGATGCAAGCCAGCGACGTAGGCTTCGAAATGTCGGCCATCGGCGCAGCGATTGTCGTCGCGTCCGTTCTCGTCGGTGTCGTGCTCGTCGTCCGAATGCACCGCCACGAAGGCGACGCTGCCATCATCGCGCACGTGCTCCGAGCGATTCAAGACAAGGATAAGAGCCGCCACCAGCACGAAAAGGCTGCCAAGACGATCGTTGTCGTTGTGTAGTGCATTCCCACATCGTCCCCCACCATCATAGTTTACTAGCCATCCAACTTTAACTTAAGACTCTTTTTAAACCAGTCGACCCGCGTCAATTTACTCGAAGCACAGACGAAAAGCCAGCACCGTGTGACAAGGCGATCGTTCGCTCGGACCGACTTGCTCAAGATCGAACACCTCGCCAAAAACGTCAAGCTCAAACCGTATACACCCGAGCGTTTGTACCTTCAGTGCTAGCTGGACTTCTTCCTCCACTTGGACACAAACGCCAGCTTTGTACCCTTCCTTGCCTGCCCCTGCATGTGAGGAACACTGCGCGGCCTGCGTGGTTCGTCGTGGATTGTCGATCAGGCAGGTACACCACTCGTACATTTGGGCATGGGACCCACGATTTGGGGTACCACTTGGGTGACTGGATGCAATCCGCTGCTGGACTGGATACGATATTTGCGCAACCCATCATTGAGGTTGGCTTGGATTTTGAATCGAATCTTTGCGTGTGGATGGATCCCAGTTTAATTTTTCTCGTCGTGTCCTAGTGCTGTAGATGCAAGCAGTTTGCAAGGTTGAAGTCCAGGAGGAGTCCAGCTGTGGGCAGGTTGATTTGGGCGTGAGTCTGGGCCGTAACTTAACGGTGGTGAGCGTGCCACGTCATTCCAGCCGTTTCGGTGCAACCGACGGCGGCATGGAGAAGGACGCGGCGGTCAAGTGCTTGATCGAGGACGAGCCAGCGGCTGAGAACGAGGCGCCCGAAGATGCGGAAAGCGAGAACAACGGAGCGTACTGCGCCAAGCTCATGGACGACGCAGCGATACGAGCGCTTCGGCGTGCGCTCGTGAAGACGTCTGTGGCGATGGAGACACACGGGCATCTCCGCAAGTTTCAGCGCAAGCCCGAGGAGCCACATTCGCTAGAGCATACTTCGCGACGCAAATCTTCGCTCCAGCGTGATGCCCACAAAGTCCACGAGTTGCAGATGCCTGTGCTTCCGCACCGCCCAGCCTCGGCGCGGCCAACCCGTACGACAGACTCTGCTGCTCGCGTAGAAAAAGAGCTTGGACAGCCAATGTAATCGTGTAGCGCCCGCTGGCCATGCCAATCGATCGCGTCCGTCCACAGTACACAGCAGTGCAGTCTCCAATAACAAGCTGCGACGGTCGTTCCAGGTCGTGCTCGCCGAAGAAAAGGCCAACTACACAGGTACAGCAACCGTCCAATGCACAAGTCGTCAGCGTCCGTAGAGCTTGAAGATCAGTATCTCACGCTAAAAGACGCCATTTTGCGTGTACGTGCCTCTTCTCTGATGAAATGCCTCACGTCGACGCTCGTAGCATTTCGACGACGTGCTGCACAACCCGCACAGCGTGGACCGCGACTTGAGCGCGGATGCGTATGCGCAGCTCGCTGAGATGGACGAGCGTCTGCGGGAGGAAAACCGGCTTCGGCCCCATGACGAGCCCAAGCCGCGACGTACGTCTTCGCCACTGCGCATACCCCGGCCACCGCCAATCTCGCGATTAGACAGCTAACCAGCCCATAACCGGCTAATCTATCGCCGCTTGTCGACGGTGTCGGTTGAAAACGTGGCGCGACCGGATAAGCATACGGATATTGTTGCCAGCCAATGACGGCCACATTGCCTCTGTCGTTGAAGCAGCCGAGATGGACAAGGAGGCGCTCCTAAATGGACCCTTGAGTGCCAGTCGTGGCAGCGACCGGGCGCGAAGCCCTCGTCGGCGTCAAGGGTCGCGTCGCTCGCGCAGCCGCACGCGAAGCCCAGCGCGTGATCGTCGAAGCCCAGCGCGTGATCGTCGAAGCCCACGTCGTAGCCCGCGCCGGGCCGACACGCGGTCCCCACCCCGGTCTCGCCCAACGTCCCGCAAGCCCGAGCCGCATCATGGCGACGGCAAGGTCGATCCTGATCTTCGCGATGTCAACGACGACCCGCGCGTGGGCACGGTGCTCCCGTGTGCGATCAAGGCCGCGCGTGGCAACACTGGCCGCAACACCGAGTCGTTCGACCCCGCGTCGACACTGGTGCGCCCAGCCATGCGCATCATCGTCGGACCGAAGAAACCCGTTTTCGACAAGCCGCTCAAGCACGACGACGTGGTCGTCGTGCCCGACTTTTTTTGCGCCGAGGACGACTGGAGCATCTACTACAAGCTCATCGAGGAGATGCGCGCGGCGCAGTCGACCGGCACTGCCAAGTCCGAGTGGATTCCGTGGGCCGAAGGCTGCCACTTGATTTCGCAAAACCCGACGGGGTCGCCCACGTACGAGATGGTGCTGCGGCGCACGAGCGAGTATTTCAACATGAAGGCGGGGTCCCAGGGCACGCGCTTCAACTGGTACCGCGACTCGTCCGACTGGAAGCCGTTCCACCACGACTCGGCGGCGTACAACCCGGGGCGCGCCCGCACGCAAAACATCACGGTTGGCGTCTCGTTCGGCGCCGAGCGCGAGCTGGCCTTTCTGCACGCGCAGAACGGGTCGCGCATCTACTTTCCGCAGTGCAACGGCATGCTCTTTGCGTTTGGGCGCGACGTCAACATCAACTGGAAGCACGGCGTGAACGCGCTCGCGCCCCAAGTGTTTTGCGGCAAAGGTCGGATATCCATCATCCTCTGGGGCCTCGCGCAGGACGTCATCGAGGAGCCGGAGAGCCCCGCGCTCTTGACGAACGACGCGCGCAACGGCTTTGACAACCGCGGCCGCGCCAACGGTGACGTGTGCCGCGACTTTCAAGGCGGCTCGTGCCGCTTCGGGGACCGCTGCAAGTTTAGCCACGCGTCGCGCCGCTAGACTCGAATTTACTAGTATCTTGCTGCGCTCTGAAGCGCTGCGTCGTGCGGTCGCTCAGCGTCGCAACGTTGACTGAATATTCTACTAAAAGCGAGAAATAACTGCAATTTGCGTAACGGAGCAGTACTTGAAGCCTCCGGAACCCGACGAAAATGACCTCGACGAAGCGCCTGACAGCCGACTTTTTGATGTCCCATGCTGGCCTCTACGACCTCGGCAGCACCAAAGAGGTCTTGTCAAGCACATAATCGCCTTGCCAACGTGTGCGTGCATTAGCTCATTCTACGCCAGGAAGGCCTAGCCGAGATTGACGACGCGTGCGCGCAGGAGCTCAGTGCGCTCGAGCTCCTCTCACTCTCTCACAACGCGCTGACGAGTCTGCAAGGCTTTGCGCATCTCGTCAACCTCGTCGAGGTAAAGCTTCGTATCATTGTCTCGCTCCCATGTCCGTAGCTCAACATCAACTTTAACCAAGTGACGTCGCTCGAGTCGCTGCAGTGCTTTGGCCTCCAAAAACTGTACGCGGCCAACAACTGCGTACGTGGCTACTCGTCGCACTCGACTCAGTCTCCATGCAGATTGCGTCACTGGCGCCGCTCCGCGCCTTCCCAAAGCTGTCGCACATCTCGATCTTTGGCAACGCGATCTTGGACTTGGACGCAGCGCTGCATACGTGCAAGCACCTCCTCAAGGTAGCAAGCAATAGAGCGCACATCGTCACCAAGCCCACACGTAGCTCAAGAGCATCGATCTGGACGGCAACCCGTGCGCGCGTCTGCCTGGATACAAGTACCACGTCCTGCGCGCGCTTCCTCGTCTACGTGCGCTCGACGGTCTTGATTTCCCTTCCGTGTTGACGCGTCAAGATTGCTCGATCGTAGGCGACGTCGTGCAAGCGCTGGACCGCGACCTCTGCGATGTGCCTCCACCCGTCCCGAGCTCGAGCTTGCGCGCACGGCCGTCGACGCCGTTCCAGGCAGAACGTACAATAGTCGTAAACCTACATACCGATCATCTATCATTATCCGCGTAGACGTCGAGGAGTTGCGCGGCCACGTGCAGCTCTTCCGCGACGACTTTCTCAACAACAACCCGATCTTGCTCGAGTACCTCGCCCAGGTGCGTACCTCGGCTGCGACGACGCTAATTTGCTACGCAGAGCCGGCTCTCGCCCAACGAGCCCGCCGACGAGGAGGCGCCAACCAACATTGAGATCGAAAACAACAAGTCGGTGTTTGTCGAACGCATGCGCTTGGCCAACCCCGACCCGTCGGGGGTCGAAGGCGGTCACTCGGAGCCTCCGCTCACAACGCCTCGCCCGTCGACGCCGTCGGTGGCGCTCTCGTTCCACGCGGTCGTCGACCCGTCGGACCCGAGCACGACGATTCGGAAGCTCCTCAAGCACATCGAAGGCCTCTCGGTACCGAAAACGGCCACACGCCGTCCACAGACAGGCTTGTAGGAAATGGTGTCGCACTACAAGAGCCTCGTGGGCGACGCTGCCATCAAGACACTGCGCCAAGAGAACGCGCAGCTGCAGACTGAAGTCAACAACATTCCGATTCTGCAGCAAGTACTCGAGCAACGCAACCATTGGGAAGATGGGTGCGATGCGTGCCTCTTAGGAAATCCACGAGCTCAAGAAACAGCTCTTTGTGCGACCGGCCGCAGACCCCGCCGTTGAAGCGCGCTGCACGCAGCTTCAGGTGCTCGGCGCGGTATACCATTGAAGATGACATGATTCGTGTAGATGGAAAATGCGTGCTTGACGCGGCAAGTGGCCAAGCTCCAAGCCATTCTCGACGCCAAGGCGACGTCGCCGGACGTCGTCTCCAAAGAAGAGGTGCGTTTGTGTTGTCTGCTAACCTCACGAGAGCCGTAGATCCTCCACGAAGCGGCGTCCGTGGACCTCGAGCTCACGGAGCTCATTTTGAAAAATGAGATTTCGCTCCAGCTCATGCGGCATGTACGAGCATCACTTCTCGACATCAAACGACCGTGATTCCGTGCTAGAGCATTCAAAAAACCAAGCTCGAGCTCCAGAACGAGCGCGTCGCCGAGCGGTGCGTGCACTAGCGTAGGAGCACGTCTTCCACGGTGGTGTAGGGTCGGCGTCCGGCGCCCCATGACGAGCGCGGGTCCTGGCGACCGCGTCTCGTGTGCGGAGCGAGCGCCAAGCTTGGAGCGCCCGACGCGCGTGGCCCCTCGGGCCATCCACACGTCGGCCGGTCCGCGCGTCGCCATCAAGTTGCACAAAGCGTCGATGAAGAAGAGCGGGACAACCAAGAAAAAGTCGACGCGGCCGCGCACGATCAAAGAGGACGAGGTCGTCGAAGGCAACAACGCGCCTGAGGCCGCGGCCGACGTGCTCGTGCTAGCGTGAGCCACCTGCAAAATTGGCATCCACAAGCAACTTCGTTTGTTTTGTATAACGCCACGCGTCTACGATTCGTCGACTTGGGTCCAGTTCCACGCATTGCGCGCATGGGGGGGTACGAGGCGCTCCCGAACGTCCTGCGGCACTTGCGATAGCTCTACAGCAGCGCCATTGAGCGTCCAACTTCCAGAGTCTACAATGACCTTGAAGTGTAAAGTTAAAGAGGGGCGGCACGGGTTGGTTGTTGGCGAGGGCGAAATGCGGGCGCCTTCAAGTACATTTTGATATACATCACGACGTCTCGCAGTACGTACCGCAAGTCGTCAAAAAACGGGTGGGCCGCAGCCTCGAGCGGGTGCATGCGACTAGCATACGATCAGTGGCCAAGCACAAGCGCATGAGTTGAGTACTTGGACGGAGCATAGACGAGCATCTTGGTGATGAGGTCGACGGCCTCCGAGTGGCAATCGCCAAACTTGACAGCCCATTGCGGGCGGATGCGCGGGAACTTGAAGTCCGTGTGCTGCGGGTTCATCGCGTGGACGTCGTCGCGCGTCGGCGTGCCCACGATCTTGATGATGTTGCTGAGCTGGTCCACGAACCCGCTCTCGCCAGGAAAAAGTGGCTTGGATAGCAACATTTCGCCAAAGACGCACCCGAGCGACCACATGTCTAGGCACGTGATTTGGACAATGGCGACACGCAGCGTGCCTACCGATGGCCGTCGTGTAGTTGGTCGCTCCAAAGATGAGTTCCGGTGCGCGGTACATGCGCGAGCAAATGTACGAGACGTTGGGTTCGTGGGCCTGGAGCATCTTGGCACTAGCCGCAGTCGTTTTAATGCACGAAGAAGCAGGGTCGCATACCTGCCGAAGTCGCAGAGCTTCACGACGTGCGTCTGTGGGTTCACGAGTACGTTGTGGGGTTTGATGTCGCGATGGCAAATGCCCATCGAGTGCAAGTACCCGAGCGCAATGCACATTTGGTACATGTACAGCTTGGTGTAAATGAGCGGCAGCACCTTCTGCCGTTCCTGGAAGCGGCGAATGATGCTATAGATCGTCTCCGGGATGTACTCGAGCACGAGGTTGAGGTAGAGGTCGTCCGCGCCTGCCTAGGGAGGGTGCATGGGTGACCAGCCGACGATGAGGCATGGCGTACCCGCGAGTAGAAGCTGTGCTTGAGCTGCACAATGTTGCCATGGTGGAGCTGACGCATGATCTGGAGCTCGCGGTTCTTGATGCGCTTGTCTTGGAAGATCTTCTTGATCGCGACAACTTCCCCCGTCTCCTCGATGACGACTTGGAAGACAGCGCCGAACGAACCGCACCCGATCTGCCGCTCGACGCGGTAGTGCACCGTGCGCCCCTGGCGGCTATGAGACCCTGCACATACAGCGCTTCAACTTACATCCGACAGCGCATGCGACGAGTTCTCCAGCGTGATGCTACGGACCGCGTTCTCGCCGCCCATCGCCATGCACTAGTCCAAAGATGGAAATCACCGACTTGCCTTCGTCCTAGTCGGCTAGCATCCGGATAATCCGGATATGATGGTTTCCATGTTTTTGCTTCAACCTTGCGACGAGCGCAATGCACGGAGGAACGCTTGGGCGAGGGACCGTGGCAGCCTTGGCGTTGACGAAACAGCGAGCCCCGAGGCCAACCGTCTGGCGTGGATGGGCCTCGTGCGTCATGGATGATGCTATCAACTATCCCGACGCTAGAACATATCAGGGTGGTGTAGTATTGGGTGCTATCTATCTTGTTGCGGAATTCATACTCTACTCCATGTCGTCGAGATCGCCGTCAAAGTAGTCGACCTTGACCAAGCGACCGTCGAGCTCCTATGTAAGAGGGCTCCGACAAAGGTGCGTCGCAGAAGATGCATGTACCTGGCCGTTCATGGCGAGCATGGCGCGAAACGCGTCTTCCGAGTGCTTGAAGGTGACGCAGCCCGAGAGAAACATCGTGTCTTCGGACGTTGGCAGGATACAGGCTACCGAGGCAGCGCGTCCATGAGGCCCTCCAGCCGCTCACTCTCAGCTACCTTGAGAGACGGCGCCAAACTTTTCAAAGGATTCGCGGAGCCGCGTGCTGTCGGTGCGCCAGTGGATACCTAGGCAATGGGGTCGATCAGCAGCGTCCCAGAACTTAGGTTGGCGTACCTTCGACATAAATACTCGTCGTGAAGAGCCGCGTCCGGCCGAGGCTGCGCGCAAAGGTCCGTCCGCGTCCAAGCATGTTGGCCGTGTTTTTGCAAATGGGCGCCTTTTTGACCAATCGGCGTCGACTGCATAAATCCGCCGATTCGGGGCAATTCGAATACGATAGCCAATAGCGTGCCGTTCCAATCAAGATTTTGGCCAATCACATGCGAGATGCATCGACGAGATCCGGGGTCGAGGGGTGCTTTCCGGCGATATCTTGGCAACTGTATATGCCCAAAAAGTCGAAACTCGGGGCGTGACGAAGATGAGCACCGCGAAGGCCGACGCCGAGAGCGACGCGGCCGTCAAGGCCATCACGATCTCGAGCTCAACGCATACGCTCGCCGACGTACGCTGGCGCCATGACGAGGCGCCACGCTCATGCCATGCGCTAGGGCAAGACGATCCATTACTCGGCGGAGCGCATCATCGGCAATGGGTCCTTTGGCGTCGTCTTCCAAGCTGCGATCGAAGAGACGGGCGAGGTTGTCGCGATCAAGAAGGTGCTCCAGGACAAGCGCTTCAAGAACCGCGAGATGCAAATCATGCGCCAACTTCAGCACGACAACATCGTGCAGCTCAAGCACTGCTTCTACTGCAACGGCGAGAAGGTATAGCTACGATCGGTGGTTATGGCACTCAACCGCCGCGTGTAGCCCGACGAGCTCTACCTCAACTTGGTCTTGGAGTACATTCCCGACACGCTGTACGGGGTCGCCCGCCAGCTGCAGCGCAATAAGCAGTTCATGCCGATCTTGCACGTCAAGCTCTACATCTACCAGATCTGCCGGGCCCTCGGATACATTCATGCAATGGAGATCTGCCACCGCGACATCAAGCCTCAGAACCTCCTGCTCAACCCACAGAGCCACATCGTCAAGATTTGCGACTTTGGCAGGTGCGTCCGCGTCTCCTACACCACGTCATCCCATAGCCCCGACTATTAGTGCCAAGAAGCTCCAGCCAAACGAACCCAACGTCTCGTACATTTGCTCACGCTACTATCGCGCGCCCGAGTTGATTTTTGGAGCGACGGACTACACGACGGCAATAGGTGTGCAAGCGCCACATCCCACGTCTCTCTCACCTTGCATTAGACGTGTGGTCGCTCGGTTGCGTCTTTGGGGAGCTTCTCCTCGGCCAGCCACTCTTCCCTGGTGAGAGCGGTGTTGACCAGCTCGTCGAGATCATCAAGGTGCTGGGTACGCCTGCGCGCGAAGAGATTCAGGCCATGAACCCCAACTACACCGAGTTCCAGTTCCCGCAGATCCGCGCGCACCCGTGGTCCAAGGTCTTTCGCAGCCGGACGCCCGAAGAAGCCATCGACCTCATCGCCAAGATGCTTGCCTACGATCCCGTCAAGTACGCTAGCAGAAATGGCCTCAAATGATCGAATGCCAATGGTGCTCTAGGCGCATCAAGCCCTTGGAAGCCGCCGCGCACCCGTTTTTTGACGAACTCCGGTACATTGGAGCATTCGTATTTGCACGTCGCTCACCGCGCTCTTCGTAGCCAAGAAGGCTTTGCGCTCCCGAACGACATAGCCGTGCCGCCGTTGTTCAACTTTACGGCCGACGGTGCGTTCCCAAACGATATGACGATCAAGCTCATGTGTCTTGTGCAGAGCTGAGGCACGTTGACATGGCGACGCGGGAGCGATTGGTGCCCGAGCATGCGCGCAACGATGTCAACTGGCCCGTTCAAGACGATGGCTCTTGGCCGGACGCGTCCAAGGAACCCAAGGAGCCTGTCGTCGAGGCGCCTGCGCAGCTGCCGACCGAGTGAAGGCGTCCTCGTGCCCCTGGATATTACTGCGTGTGGAAACAATGGCTGATGCTGATGGTACAATGAATTTTACATACTGGGTTGCTATAAAAACTATGGGGAAATCATTACCTGGCGCCCGACGTGCATCAGGCTCAGCTTGTTGCGCAACGGCGTTGTGTTCTCCTTGGCGCGGCGCGGCGACTTACGCCGCTGGGCTTCCGTCGCCATGTGACCGACCACGTCACCACCGCTGAGGCGGCGCTTGCTGCGACGAAGCAGCTTGGGCGTCGTCATGCGAATTTCTTCCTTGGCCTCTTCGAGCTCTTGTTCGAGACGAGCCACATACGCAGTTTGCTCAAGCTCGGCGAGAGTGTACAAATGCTTGGCGAGAAGTCGCTCAAGGTCGCCTTCCAAGAGGCTGTGCAGTGCGCTCAGCGCCTTGCGCGTGATCGGGTACGCCGTCATGTGGATCTCAGCGCATGTATCGCGGTACAAGCGCAGAATCAGCCGCCGCGGGAGCCAGTACAAGCTCGTGGGCGACACGATAGACGGAGCGCTCGCCGTATCAGCACCCGTCTCGACGTCCGACTCTTCGCCTTCACCAAACGACGCGCCGTCTTCGCCACTGCTGCCTTTCCAGCTGCACGAATCATCGTCCGAGTCGTCCGACGAGCTGCCTTCGGACGTTGCACGTTCATACAAGATGTCCTGATGAGCTTCAGTTGATGGCTCTTCACTCGTTTCCACCATGTCGACGTCTTCGGTCTGGTCCAGCCGGGCAGCGCGCGACGTGTCGTCCGTCGTATCGTCAAAACCGTAGATCTTGGCACCGCGGGCGCGGCTCGCGCTCAGTACATCGCACAGACGCATCGTGGACTCGCCCCGGAGATGCATGGCCTCGCCGCTGGCTTCGACGAGCTCATGCATGGCCGCAGTGAAGGTGTCATGGAACTCATCGACGACGGTCGCCATGGCCGCATCGCCTGCATGGATGGCGTAGCCCGTCTGACGGGCGAGGTTGAGGCGTGCGCGATCGAGGGTAGCCGCGAGCGTCGCCTGGAGGTGCTCCTTTGTGACCCAGCACACGTACTTGCTCATGGTCGAGAGATTGCAAATGGATTTCCCGCCTCCCTTTGCCGCCTATACTACTATCCGGATACCGCAGCTGCCCGTCAACCACTCTGTGCGGATAGTCTTCTCGTGAAATAGTGTATACCCTCGCAACCTAGAAAACCAAGCCAAGACATCATCTGAACTCTAATTCTATTTCGAACAGGTTTTACTCCTAAGTACTGTTAAGTTCTTGGTCACTGCGTGTCCGGATACATAAAGCGCACCACTTTCCTTCAAAGCGCACCAACTTTTGAAGTAGCGCACCAGAATTCGAGACATGCACCTTCTCGTTCGGCAAGCTTTCATTCTTTTTGTCGGATTCGAACACGCCAAGATCGCATGACCTGCCGCGAGTGCTTGGAAGAGACGTGCTCGGGCGCTGCGCTCTTTCTCTGCAATGGCATCGACTTGGCCTGCGGCCTCACGCTCGTAGCCTACGGTGCCTACCTCGGAATCAACCACTTTGCGCCGACGTGGCTCTTTGCCCCGATCTTGGGCCTCGGCGGGATGCTCGTGTTCACGTCGCTGCTGAGCTGGTGTGGCTCGTCGTGCCGGTCGTGCACGAGCCTGTTGCTGATTTCATCGTGGCTCCTTACGCTTGTCGCGCTGCTCGAGCTCGTCATGGCCATCGTCATCATGACGCAAGGCGACGCGATCACGGATTTTCTCAAGCAGCACCAGGCGGAGCTCCACCTCACAGACGACGAACTCGCACTCCTCGAGTCGCACAAGTTTGTACCCGCGTACATTCTCTTTGGCTTGTTTGGGATGGAGCTTTTGCGCTTCTGCTGCAGCTCGTGCCTTCGCCGGTCGCGCCTCGAAAACAAGTATGCGCGCATGAACCTCAAGAACCTTCGGGGCATGGAAGATAACCTCGTGCAGACAAAGAAGGAGCGCGAGGTCTCAGCCAAGTACCAAGCGCTCAAGGACAAGTATCGCTCCAAGTATACTGGCGAGAACGACCAAGCGAGCAGTTTGCTCCTTGGCTAGGCGTCCTGCGATTGCATAGGAATCCGCCTGCAATAAGTACTGATTCTTTCGTGGCCTGAGAATTTAAGATGGCCATCAACTGCATTGTTGCTCCCTTCGTTATACACCCGGCCAGGCTAAAGCTTTTTACGTGGCGGGCTCCATGGCGCGCGACGCCTTCCACTTGAGAAAGGTCGCCACGTCCGACGTGACAAAGTCCACGAACGCACTGAACTGGTGGTGACCGCGGATGACGCCGAGGCTCGTGCGCGCGACGTCAAGAAGTCGCGTGTCGCGCTTGCTGTTGTTGCGAATGAGCTCAAAGTTGCGCTCCATCATCTCGAGCGCAAGGGCAAACTCGCGCGTCTTGCTATACAGGAGGCCGAGGCGCCGACACGCTTCGGCCTGCGCCACCACATTGTCTACAAGAGCTCCTCGATGACAACCTCTTGGAATATTCTGCGAACCGATCTTTTCAGCGACAACGAGGTACTCCTTGAGGTAGTCCATGGCCTGTTGCGTATGGCCCAGCGCCTCGAAGGTCGTCGCGAGTGCTGCATACGCCTTGCACTCGCCGTCGACGTCCCCGAGGTTCTTGCAGAGCACGAGCTATGGGATGATGAAATCAGCGACATGAAGCGAAGTCGACGTGCGTACATAGTCTTTGAGGTACAGGAGCGCGTCCGTCGCTTGGGCCATCGCGTTGTGGCAGCACCCGATGCGGTACTGACCGAGCGCGACGCTCGGGAGGTCGTTGGCGTCCCGTGCGCACTAATCGCCGCAGTCAACGCCAACAGTCATGGGCATGTAAATACTACGTCGAGGAACTTGATGTGGATGTGAATCGCTTGGTCGTATGCGCCGGCGCGCTCGTGGATGGAAGCCACTTGTTCGTAGACTTTGCAGAGCTCGTGGAGCGCGCGGATCTTCTCGGCCTCGGGGCGCATGAGGCGCACGAGCTGCACGTGGAGTTCGTGGTTGTCTTGCGCCTTTTCGAATTCCTTCAAGCCGTAGTAGGCGTTGCCGAGGTTCTCGAGCGCGCCGATCTCAAAGTCTTGGTTGCGCGCAATGCGGGCAATCTCCAAGCACTTTTCGTAGAAAAAGACGCCGGTCCGGAGGTCGCGCGCGGCCTACGAGCGCTCCATCGTGTGCACTTAGTACCACAATCAAGCACCGTAAAGTGGGCGGCGAGGCGCTCGTACGACTCGAAGACTTGGATCACGTCGCCTTGGCGCCGCGCCGTCTCGGCTGTGGTGAGGTTGTCGCGCAGAAAACTCATTTGCGCTGGCGAGACGCCGATCGGAAGCTTCTTGTCGGCGCCATCAGGCCCAACTACGTTGGTTTAGTAGATTGTTGAGCACTAGGTATGGATATTTACTCTGTGTGTCGACGCGGTGGACCAAGTAGAAGAGGTCCACGAACGACTGCACGAGGCCCGACTTGAGCACTTGGGCGCACACCTCGCGCTTATCGACAAGCGAGCAAAAGACGGGGCCGTCGTCGCGCGACCCAGTCTTCTCGGCGCCGTTGCCGGCCGCTCGCAGCGGCTGCTGCCGCGTGGGCTTGACGCCGACCTGCGGGACCCGAATCGCCATGACTCTAGAAAATCCGATAACGGACGCAGCGTTTCGAGATGGACGACGCTCCATGCGCCAAGAAGTCAATGGTCGGCGGTGTAGTTGTAGCATCGGCGGTGTATTAGTAGTAGGGCATTAGGTGTGGACGTGCAGAAAGGACGCGGTGGGTTGCGGCAGTGCGTCCTGCTCGTTATGATGGGAACGACTGTGTCGGAATATATTGTACCTCGATGGACTCTCGCCGGTGGACCGCTTGTTTGAGCTGGTGGTGCGACTGGCGCGCCCAGCGGTCGCTGAACGCTGCAAACGCACTGGCAACGTAGTAGCAGCAAGCTATGACGACGCTGCACACAAGCACGAGTAGCGGCAGCTTGGTCGTCCTGCCTTTGGCCCCGAGTTGCATCGTGGCGCCAAAATAGCACTTCGCGTGTCGTTTCACATTATTTGACTTAAGCTTTCGGGATTGCGATAGTCGATACGATTTCACCTTGGTACACGTCGAGGAAAGATGGAACTACCGGTGTAGTCGACTACCGGTAGCACGTGCGACGTTCTTGGCATTGTAGCTTGTGGCGAAGGCAACGCGGTAGCTGCCACGTGTACCACGTCATATGGGCGTCCCAACTAAACCTATCAAGGTATCGACTTTAGTCGATGGCAGTCGGTCTCGTTCCTTTTAAAACTGATATTGCATATTGACTTTGACAAGATCAGGGACGATGAACCCGACGTCGCGAGCGCTGCTGACGACGGTGTCCATGTACTGGAAGGGCTTTGACCTCGACAGCAAACGCGTGATGCTCGACGCGCAGGGCGGCTCCATGCAGGAGCAGAAGGAAGCGTCGCTCAAGTCGCGGAAGGCGCTCGCCGAGCACACGAAGCGGTTCCGGAAGCTCGCGTCCGAGCCCGAGAAGGCCGCGAGCCTGCCCGGCCTCCTCAAGGCGTACCAAGAAGAGATCGACACGCTCACAAAGCGGGCCAAGTTTAGCGACAATGCGTTCTTCACCTTGTACAAGGCGCTGTACGAGGCGCCCGACCCCGTGCCGGCGCTTGAGGCCGCGCTCGAAGCCTCGGCGGTCGTCGCCAAGCCCGGCGGCGACGCCGACATCGAATCACTGCGCAAGGAGATTGAAGCGTACGAAGTCGAGTTTGCGATGCTCAAGAACCAGGACATTACGATCCGGAACCTCGAGGCCAAGATCGCGGGCTTCACCGAGACGCTCGAGAGCATGGTCGAAGAGCAAGTCAATGAGCGCTGCCGCGACGTCGAGTACAATGCGAATCTGCGCGAAGGTTCGTACTGCGGCGTCTACAGGCAGCGGTGCTGGAACGTACAATTGTAGATGAGATGGCGGCCATGGCGGCCCATTTGACCAAGTCCATGGAGCAAGCGCGGCAAGAGCGCGACGACGCCCTCGCACAGCTCGACCGGCTTCGTTCGGACGTGCTCCACGCCAAGCAGCGCAACGAGCAGTTGCAGCAGGTGCATGCAAAGGAGATGGCATCCTGGGTCCTCGAGTCGGACCGTCTCCGCGCCCTCCAGCTGGAGAACCAGCTGCTTAAAGACCGCGTCCAGAGCCCCGGCCTTGATCCCCACGAGCCGCTCGAGTCCCAGGTGCGCCGTCGTACACTATTTTTTATAAACTATACTACTTTGCATAGCGAGCCATGGAGTGGGAGCTCAAGCTCGCCCAGCGCGAGGCGCAAATCACGCAGTTGACGCGCGATTTACAGACCGCCGAAGCCCGCACACCGACGCTCGAAGCGGACCTGGCGGCCGCGCTCGCCGACGTGAGTGCGCTAACGACTGAAGTGGCACACCTTCTTCACCGACCCACGATCGCAGCCTATGAAGACCTCCTCGCGCAGGTGACGTCCTCAGCCGCCGCGCCCGATGGGATGCTCGAGACGCTCAAGGCTGAGCATGCGCTCGATGTGGCGAGCCTCGATGGCGTCATTGCGACTCAGCAAGCCAAGTTGGCCGAGTGTGCTGCCACGATTCGTCAACTCGAAGACGCAGCCATGGAGGAGCCGTCGGCGCCATTGCTGCAGGACGTCTTGGCCTCAAGCAGCACCGAGGGAAGCGACTTGAAGCTCGTGTCGATTCTACGCACGCAGCGCGACCGCCTGCGCGACCGCTTGAAAGAGTCGGACCGCGAGCTCCACAAGGAGACAGAAAAGATGCGGCACATCACCAACCGGCTCGCGCAGCTCGAAGCCGAAAACGTCGACTTGGTGCAAAAGCTGCGGTACCTCTCGACGGCCAACACGAATAGCAACAGCAACAACGGGGACCTCGAGGAGGCCGCGCCGTCCACCAAGTACGCGCGCCTTTACGAAGAAAAGATGAGTCCGTTCGCGCAGTTCAAACAGCTCGAGTCGCAATCGCGCTTTGCAAAGCTCAACACGATCGACAAGATCCTCCTCACGAGCGCACGCATGCTCCTCAGTCATCCCGTGACGCGGCTCTTCATGCTGCTGTACCTCCTCTTCCTTCACACACTCGTCGCTCTCACCATCTACATGGCCATGCACATGTGCGACGTCAGCAACGACTCATAGTACATGCATTCGTACAGTACCTAACCCTCTTGATGTCTGCCAGAGCGTACTTGGGACAGACAAATTAACTTGCATTTTCGGCACAGAGTATGTACAGAGGATGAGCCCACACTACTTAAAACGCAAAGATGTTTTGCGTGTCGCAGTTGTCGTTGGTGTAGCCCTTGAAGCACTGGCAAATGCCGCAGCCAAAGTCGCAGAGACCGCGACCCGAGCACTGCGAGACGTACGTGTACGTCCCCGGCGCCGACATTGTCGGCGTCGAGAGGATGTAGAAGGTGGAAGCCGTCGAGACGGCCGACCCATCGAGCGCCTTGCCGTTAAATTTGCGGTCGACCGTAATGACCGCCGGCACCAACGCCACCGCAGGCGCGATCGACCGGACATAGTAGATGGCGTTCTCGAACACGATCTTGCTGCCGACGACGACAAGTGGCGCTACCGCGGCATCGACGCACGTGAACGAGTCGGAGCCGACGTCCCATATTCCGATCTGACACGCGTCGGCGGCGACCGTGACGCCCGTTGCGTAGTAGATGATGTTGCCCGCTGTGAACGTGATTTGCACGAGCCGGTACGCGAACGTGATGGAGTTTGCTGTCACGGCAGTCGCGATCGCAAGGCGGTCCTTGATCTTGACGAGGGCAGGCAAGGTCGTGAACGCCGTGGTCAAGCCCGAGACTGCGAACGTGAGGCCGCTTCCGCTCGCGTAGTAGGCACCGGACGCCGTCGCGCAATAGTCGATGGCTTCGCCACGGCGGTTGTTGGCGGTCACGACGGCGCGAACCCCCGTGGTCAAGATGGCGGGGGAGCTGTCTGCAAACTGCGACGCGACGACCTCGGGCAGCCGCATCGGACCCGGGTTGTCAACGTATTGACACGCGACAAAGTAACCGCGCTCGAGGACGCCTCCGACGTTGAGCGCGGGAATCACATTTGGATAGTCGGGCTCACTGGCGCGGTGGCACGAAATGCTCGAAAAGACCTTGTTGGGCAGCGCCTGGAACACGGCCGCAAAGACTTTGCCGGCGTCGACCACCGAGCCGTCGTTGATGGGGATTCGAGGCGTCAAGTACGACTCGCCCTCGTGGTCGTACACGCGCAGCTGGATCCACGACTTGGTCCAGTCGAGCGTCG